ATGTAACGAAAGATCCACGGTGCACCTTCCACAAAGAAAAGGGCACCGCACTGAAAATTGCACGCCATTGAGACAGCACTTGGAGAGTTGGGGCAGTAGGTCACTTGGATAAATACATCGAAGGAGGGGCCAACCAACCCCCCAGGACCATAACCACACCCAACGGAATGCCGATCAACGCCCCACCTCAAGGCGTTATCAGTGTGATGCATGGAGTCTTGTGAACCTGAGCGTGTATGCGAGCTTATAGGATCAATCAAAAAGGCCGAGCACTTAGAGAGGTGTTAAGTGCCCAACCTGCCATCAAGAATGGGAAGACAGAGGCAACAAACGTCATGTCTTTTTCGGATAAAGACTTGGAACGAATATACTGCCCCCACAATGATGCCCTGGTCGTCACTCTCCGAGTCAAGGATTTTGACGTCAAGCGGATTCTGATTGACCAGGGTAGTTCATGTGAAATCATGTACTACGAAACATTTAAACAATTGAAGCTACAAGACAAGGACCTGGCACCAGCCGTATCTCCCCTATTTGGATTCAAACTCCATGCCAGAATGGCCCGTCGGCAAAATAATTCTCCAGTTAGAGCTAGAAGCGTGACTAAACAAGTGGAGTTCTGGGTATTAAAAGTCCCCTCACTTACAACATCATCTTGGGCAGAACATGGCTGCATGCCATGCGATCGGTGGCGTCATCCTACCACCAAGTAATGCGGTTCCCAAACGACACTGGTGTAATTGAAGAGGTCTATGGAGAATCAGATTATGTCCAAGCAATGCTTTGTCACGGTAAATGGCAGCCGCGCTGCCAAAGGATACGTTCATTCGGTGGAAGAACCTGAGAGTAATGAACTATTCGCAGATGTAGGCAAAAGCAGCTAATACGAAAAGCGGTGGAAGACTTGGTAGTGGTGAGAATAGATGAAGAGAACCTGGATAAGTTTTTTTGCTCGGTTCATCGTTGTCCAGCACGAAGAGATTAGAGGTCTTGGAATTCTTAAACCTCTAACATCAAAGTGTTCGCTTGGACCCCCTAACGACATGCCAGGCATTGATCCAAACTTCATCTATCACCAACTTAATGTCACCCATCCGCCAGACCAATCATCCAACGCACACGCAGATCGGCACTCCACCATGCCAAGATAGTGGCGGAAGAAGTAGGTAACCTGCTGGAGGCAGGAGTAATTAGAGAAGTGCACTACCCAAGATGGATTTCAACACTGTCGTAGTACCAAAAAAGAATGGCAAGTGGCGTGTCTGCGTCGACTATAAAACAGTTCACAAGGCATGTCCAAAAGACAGCTTTCCTTCTACCACGGATAGATCAACTGGTAGACCTAACGGCGGGCGCACAACCAACTTGCTTTTCTGGATGCATACAGAGGCTACCACCAAAATCGCCATGCCAAAATGAACCAGAACCAGGAGGTCACATCTTTTTACAACTCCAAGGGAACTATACTGTTAACACGAGGTCATGCCCTTTGGCCCTAAAGAACGCAGGGGCAACATTCCCAACGGATGGTCACCAAGATGTTTGAACCATTGTTAGGCGAGAACAATGGAGCTTACATCGACGACATGGTGGTCAAGACAAGGATGAGAATGGACCATCTTAAAGGACCTAGCGAGCAATGTTGAGATCCCTGAAAAGCACAAGCCTGCGCCTCAAATGCATCTAAGTGTGCATTCGGAGTAGGATCTGACAAATTCCTCCGGGCTTCCCTTTACCAACGGGGTATAGAAGCGCGACCCCTCCCAGATCAACAGCAATTCAGGATTGGAGAAGACGAACTCAATGAAAGAAGTGGCAAGCATCTCACGGCATGGCAGCCGCACTCATCGTTCAATAAGCCGGTCGTCATGACAGACTAACGACCATTCTTTCAAGCTTTAAAGCCAAGTTTGAATGGGACGAAAGAATGCGACCAAGCTCTGGAAAGCTAAAAAGAATTACATGTCCTCTTCACCATATGTGGTCACCCCAATATACCAGGCAGAAGAACTTCTCCTGTTACTTGCAATCTCTCACAACGCATGTAAGCGCAGTGTTGGTTCGTGCGGAAGGAATTCAAAACATCTGCCCATCTATTATGTCGTTAAGAACATTGCTGGGAGCCGAAAACAAGGTAACTTGCCACTGAAAAACTTTAGCAATTGGCATTAATTGATGGCCTCGCAGGAAATTGGCACACTACTTTCCAACGGCCCACATTCCATAGTTGTCCTCACATATTCTATCTAGTTTCCACTAAACTTCTGTTTTGAAAGGGGAACTTTTTCTGGGCGAATATTTTAAAGTGGGCAGTAGAGTTTGGGACAATTTCGACATCAAGTTTCCAACCCAGAACCGCAGTAAAGGCTCATCTTTTGGCAGACTTCGCTCGCAAGAGTTTTACTCTGGAAGTCATCATATCTGCCCAATTCGACTTAACTGACCAAACCAAACTAGGGATGGAAGTTGACGCCGGACTAGCAACAACCCCTAGCAGAAAGTGCTCCAGTTCAGACTCCAAGGCAGACCAGACAAAAGACACAAGGAAGAAGTAAACCAAGCTAACCCAAAACAAGACTCACCAACAAATAAAGACTTGGTAACAGATCAGATGGCGAGGGGCAGACAACAAGCATGGACCTTGAAGAAAACACCAGCAACATTCTTGACCCACGACATATACCGACCCCTCCATCTTGGCTGGAAGTTATTTCGTTGGTGGAGATGTTGGAAGCTCTTTGTGGATGGAGCATGCCAACCGATGGCCATGTAAGTTACTCCGGTCGTGTGGATATTTTGAAGTTAGTCCGGTCCTAAGGCCGTGAAGCTAGTCCGGTCCGACAGAAGATCGAAGTTAGATCGGTCTAACGGTACTTTGGAGTTAGACCGGTCCTAGAGTTACACCGGCCATGACATGTTAGTTCGGTCTAACCACCATGGGGGTTGTGCATGAGAAGTTGACGTAAGAGCAGTAGAAGGAAGAGCTAGTTCGGTTTACTCTGCGGCTATGTATAGTCATGTTTACTTCGGTCATATTGGAGTTCGGCCATGTAATAACCATCTCACTTGGTTTAAGCAGTGAGGGGGTGTTGGAGGATAAGGATTATCCTTCAGGAGGTTAAATCCTAGGAGGACTCTGCATGGAGTTATAGAAGTCCTACTAGGATTGACCAATGGAGCATTGATGAAAGATTTCGGCCAGACCGAGGTTGAGACCGGCTTGGCGGTTTAGTTCGGCTATTCCCATTATTATACGGTATGAATTGGTGGATAGTTGGGTTGGGCATAGTCTGGTTTGCCTAAGAAACTCACAAATTAAGGGTTGGACTGGAAATCGTAGTCCGGTCTCAATTATGGACAAGAGTGTGAAGGGGACAAAGCCTTCATTCCCCCAGGGTATGACATCTTTTTCGGCTAAGATCAGGTGGACGTCATCGGGTATATTGTAATCTTTTCAGAATTCGGCTAGACCGCCCGGAATATTTACTAAAAATCTATACTTCCCCATTTATTTTATAAGTTATGAATAAATTAGTTCGGCACAAAAATTGTGCTCAGTAGCTCGGTTGAGCGCGCAGAGGAGTGCCTGGGCGACCTAAGTCTGCAAAGTGAAGAACAAAGGTGTTAAGCACAGATCATTGGGTTATGCTACAAATTAAAAGCAAGGTAAAAAAGTCCTACTTCGACTTTTTGGGATGTTACAGGTTCTATCTCGGTATTCTGCAAGGTGATTGGTAGCTCGGTTTGAGCAGGGTTTTTATTAGCTCGGCCTTGGCAAGCGTCTCGATATATCAGTTATGGAAACGATTTTATTAGACCGGTTGATCGTCTAGGGGCAGCTTTCTGAGTTCGGTCTAAAAAACTAAGAAAGCTGGTTTAGCCCCGAAGGCCTAAGATCGATTGGAGTTTAGGTATTTCAGTATGATTAAGTGCAAACTTAGTTCGGTTGGTTACCTCGGCTAAGGTCTATCAAGAAGTGGTTTGACTTATTCAAAGCTACTGGTGTGAACATGAAGTGTTAGTCCGGTTGTACGCTGACTAGACTTTTACCTAGCTTAAACAGTATCCTAGTTCGGTTGCATCATGATTTTGGATCTTCGAGCTTTTTCATTATTTATTTCACAAAAAATCACTGAAACATTCTAGGAAACAAGTAATATATCTTTCTAGAAATTTGTATTGAAGGCCTTACCTCTTTATTTATATATATATGGCTCTCACTAATAAGTAAATGCATAGTTCATTCCATAAACACAACTAACTTTCTTGTTGAATAACATAATTACATATTAAATGAATAAAAATAGAAAATTTGAGAATTGGGTTGTGAATCATACCAAGATATCAAGCCTTCCAAATTTGGACTTGATAAAATCAGCAAGGGAAGCAACACTAGATGGGTCCACAACATCAAGTTGACAGAACACCACATGATCAGAGAGGCCATCACTTTTGAGTTTCTCAAGGGCTTCAAAACCCTTCTTCTCATCTCTAGCAGTCAACACCACTATGATTCCCTTAGAAGCTAATTGCCTACATATCTCAAACCCTATTCCTTTATTTGACCCTGTTACAACTGCATACCTACACAGAGACAATATAACACAAACAATTGATGGGTGTGAAAGTTGAAGCCAGAATGAGAGTGACTGAAAGAGAATTCAAATGCTACAAAAGAAGCAAAAATACACCTCTTTGTTGTAGCGATTGCCTCTGCCATTGCGGTCAAGATGGGATGTGCCTGAGAAATGTTAGCTTCAGTTCACCTCTCAACCTTTGGTTCATATATAAAACTGATCCAAACTTACTTAATTTTTTATAATTTTTGAGAGGGTAATTTTTGTGAAAATTGGGCCGAGCTGGGAGATGGTCATTATGGCCCACAATACGAAGGGCTGAGTAAAAAGGCCATAAAGTTACTCCGGCCCAAGAGAGGTACAAAATTACTCCGGCCCGAGATAAATGTAATGTTACTCCGGTCCGGAAGCGACTTGGAGTTAGGCCGGTCTCAGAGTTAGTCCGGTCATGGCGTATTGTGGTTTGAACGGTCAGAACCTTGCTACTCGGTAGCTCGGTCTAAACACACCATGGTTTGTACATAAGAAAACCGAGATAAGGTGTAGCGAAAGGACGAACCGAACTAAGGATAGTTCGGCCTACTCTGCGGCTCAGCATAGCCATGGTTACTTCGGTCATGTTGGAGTTCGGCCATGGTAAAAACCATCTCACTTGGTTTAAGCAGTGAGGGGGGTGTTGAAGGATAAACATTATCTTTCAGGAGTATGAATCCTAGGAGGACTCTGCATGGAGGAGTAGAAGTCTTACAAGGATTGTGCCACACGAAACTTATAAAAGCTCACGAACATCACCTTTGGAGAGGTAACACACAACTTTGCTTTTTGAATACACGGAGCTTTTGTCTATTTGTCAAGCTTACTGACTTAGGCATCGGAGAGGTTTCTGGTACACACCCGCCGGCTAGCTCACGTTTGTGTTTTCAGGTGATAAAGCGACGACGTATAGAGGAGCGCAGACTTGATCAACAGGATTATACGAGAAAGTTTATTTCTTTCCGTACAATATATTTCAAATATAAGGGACAGGCATAATTTGTCCTAAGAGCATCTCCAATGTTAATTGTCATAGTGGCATTGTTAAAATTATAATTTGACATGTTACAATAGTAAAATGTTAAACTATAGTAATGGTATTCCAATGGTATAATGTCATTTTGGCATATTCCTAAACAACTTTTCCACATATTTTAAAGTGTTTGGATATAACTTTTTGAGTAGTTTTTTTTGTTATCTTTTTCTTTTTAAAGAAAAATTTATTTATCAACTTTTTAAAACTTTTTTTTTAAAAAAGAATATATTGAATATTTATATTCTACCCGACAAGATAAATATAAAAAATTTTAAAAAATAATAAATATAATTCACTCCACCATTTACATGCCACTACAAAATTTTTAAAAAATAATTTTTGAGTATTTTTTTTTGTCTTTTATGACTTTCAATTTTTTTTAAAAAAAATTAGACAACTGGACAAAAATTAAAAAATTATTTTTTTAAATTTTAAATTTTAAATTTTAAAAAAAAATTATATATTTAAACAACTAGACAAATATAAAAAATTTTAAAACTTAAAAATTTTGATTTTTTTAAAAATTATAATTCATCCACCATTCACATACTATAATAATATATATTTTTTAAAATACTATCTATTTCAATAAAAAATACATTGGGTAAATTATAAATACATCCCACGAGATTTGATTAAAATACGAATCGCCTCTTTTGGTTTTGAAAATTATATTTCATCTCCTGAGGTTTCTAATTTTATAACAAATTGCTTATTTTATTAATAAATAATAAAGTCAATTAATAATTTTTAATGATGTTAGAAATATATTTAAATTAATAATTAAGCTATTTTATTATTTTGTAGGAGAGCAATTATAAATTTTATTTTTTTAGTTAATTCTGTCAATTTTTTTTTTCAAAAGAAAATATTTATAATCTTTCAAATTACAAGAAGCAATTTATACTTTAAATAAATCTTAAGAAATGTATTTATAATTCGGTGGTGCTACATGCACCAATTAGTATACTAACTAGTCTACCGACACTAATTATGACATTGTTATCGACCTCACTCACTAATTACATTACAAATTTCAAAAACTTCTTAAATTATACAATATCATTAATTAATACACTAATTAATATATCAATTGGTACATACACCATTATTCTTTATAATTTCCTTACCATACATCAATGATAATATAAAAATTAAATTACATAACTATGTCATCTAGAACCTTCCTTTTAAATTTCATAACTATTTCAGATTTTGTTTTTTTGGGACTAAAACTATTTTAGATTGAAGCGCTCTCTCTCTCTCTCTCTCTCTCTCTCCAGTCTCTGATCCCTCAGAGCAAACGAAGTGGTTGCTGCGAAACCCTAGCCGCAAACAGAGGATAAAAAGCAAAGCAATTGCTGCGAAACCCCCAAAATTTTCAGGTAATTCCACTTTCTCTCCTCTTTCCCGAACAATCCCACCGTAACCCTAACCATCCCACCGTAACCCTACAGTGTTTGTCAACAATAAAAGCAATAATATGTTATTGTTCTTCCATTTCACGATCTCAAGAAAAAAAGAAGAAGAAGAGGGGTTTCGTGATCTGCACAAAATCATAAAAAAAAGGTAATCTTTTCCAGTTAATAGTTTTGCCTATCTCATAAGCATACATATATAGTGTTAGTGTCTGTATATGTATGAAGTACCTGTTCCTTTTCTAGGGCAGAGGGGCTGTTGTTGGCAGCCATTGAAACCTGAATGAACTGAAAGATCAATCAGGAAAAATATTCAGAAACAAGAAGTCACTCACCAATCAGAAAAAATATTCCGAAATTATTGTACATTTTCAATTATACTAGCGGTTGCCACACGCGATGCGTGGGCAATTCAAATAAATAAAAATAAAATAAAACATTTATCATATATTGTGTGCTAGTAAAGTGGTGAGTCTTATTCCTTTGAAATAAGTCTAAGGTTCAAATTCCCTCCTCTTATTTATCTAATTTTTTTTTTATTTCAAATAAAAAGATAGACACGTGGCAGCATAAAACAAAGTCTTCAAGACACCATAAGGGGTGTTCACTTTATAATAGTATAGAATAGATAGATACTTCCGAATTATTTATAAATTTTCGATACTTAATTTTTGAATTTTTTAAATTAAATCAGTTCTGTAGTGCCGAATGTTTTACAATTTTTCAGTACTTGATATCAGAGTAGTTTATGCAAGCAATAGATAGAGTGTAAAAATGGAGTGTAGCAAGTGATGGAAAACAATAGAGGTAGTGAGAAACAATGTAGGAACTAAGTTTTAATTTTCATTTTTTTTTTAAAAGATGTGCATTGAGAATTATTGTTTTTTAAAGATGTGTATAGAGAAAATCTAGATTTAATTTGTAGTGTGTATTGATGTCTATTATGGTCATTTTGCTTCATGATAAAATTGTCATAATTTTTTTTTGAAAAATTAATTGTGTACACAGAGACAAAACAGTGTGGAAATAGAATTTTTCATAATAAACAGAGACTAGATCACACTCTTCATCACATCGTTTTCATCATTTTAATGGGTTGAGACTCGAAAGGGCTGGGAGACATGCCCCCTCAGTCTTCAGGTAATGTTTCTACTTCATTGTCATTGCTAGACATGTTAATACTTCTTAGGGGTTTACATTCTTTTCTTCAGTTCATCTTTGTCTAGATTCAAGTTCACTATTTGCATTATTTTTTTTGCTGTGCATTATTGTTATTAGTATATATATATATTATATTAATGAACAAGAACTTTTGGAGTGCAACTGTTTTATTTTCTAATAGGTTTCAATGCTTGGAAACAAGAGTAAATAGTTTCTTATATATATTTTTTCTTTTCATTTGTAATAAAATAGGTTGTTTACTTGAAAGTTTTGATGGCATGAGTGGAGTCGGAAAAAAGAAAATAAGGTATTCTTTGCTTCTCATTATCCTGTGTGTATTTTCCTTATTTAATTAGATTGTTTTTTATATTATTTTTATTTAATGCTTTGTTTTCGTTTAAATCTTTCAATTAATAGTTTCTCTACTCTTATAATAATGTTGCATTTTAGTAATTTGATGAAACATTTTTATTCGAGAAAAATAAAAAATCTGGTTAACATATTGTGTAGCTCATGTATTAATTTGGTTGGTATTTCTTATTTTACCTTTTGTGGTTTTGGTGGTTAACCAACCGTTGGTTCTTGCACATTTTGGTTTGAAAACCTTTACCAGAAATTATCAGTAGAGTAATTACAATCCAGTGGGGATTTTTAAAAAAAAGCAATAGGCGTGCAATGGTCTGTCACTCCATTATATCTACCGTAGTTGCAGAGACCTACCACGGCCTTTCCATCTTGCATGACAACCCAACATGCCATTTTCTTGGTTGTGCCGAACTGTTATAGTTGTGGGTAGTCAGCCATTTGATTGAATCTGTGCCTTCTCATCCTGCTTAGTTTCATGTTGAACCTATGGAGTATTTATGAGCGGCATTGATGGGTCTTACACCCACTGAAAATAAATGCTAAACTATACCAAATTCTGAAATTCATGTAATTGAGAATTGTTGAATTGGAATTATGAAATGTCTATATTTTGAAATTTGAAATTAGAAATTGGAATTTTAAAATTATGCTTGTGAATCAAAATGTCTATTATGAAATTGTTTTTTTTTTTTTGCTTGTTAAGAGGAATTAAAAGGAAATTAGGGTTTGAAATTAGGGTTTTAAAAGTAATTTTTTTTAATTAAGAATAAAATTATGCGAATTGAAATTCATATAATTGAGAATTGTTAATGTCATATTATGAAATTCATATAATTGAGAATTGAGAATTGAAATTCATATTATGAAATTCATGAATAGGGAATTAAGGTGGACTGACAATTTCAATTCGAGGTCCACATGCTTACATATATATGATCATTTTGTTTCAGAAAATAAGACTGTAAACTATTGAATTCAAAATTTGAAAATTGAAATAAATCTGAAAAAATCAAAAGTTCAGAGATTTGGAAAAAAAAAAAAATGAATTTAGTGCATAACTGCCCATATAACTGATATAGGGGTGTTTTTTGAAAAATCCAAAATATGAGACATAAACACCAAGAGAAGACTTCTCTTTATAATAGTACTACATATATATACACCTTTATTCAGTATTTCACGTAATATCAAGGTGGGGTTGTATACTTGAATTTGCCGCCTATTATACTATATGTGAAATGGTATTTGTTACTTGATTTATTTCACTATACTATTTGACCCTCTAGGTGTATTTATTCAATTCAAGACATTGTGCATATTTAATAAAGTGCAAATTTCACTTCAATGTGCATGTGCAAACTACCCATATAATTTGAAAATAACTATAATGTTCTTGTGGTTTGTGGACTAAATGAAGGAGGCTTTTCCCAATATAAGCCTTTTTTACATTGTATTTCCAAAACTAGGCCAACTTCTGACGGAATTCCAAAACTAAGCTAAATCGCCATTACTATTCGCACTTTTACTGTTAGGAGCGCAAAAGTAGATGAACAGGAAAATCGCTATTACAAATAGCGACTTTGATTAAGAAGTCGCTGTTACAAATAGCGCTTCTAGGGTTAATTTTTTTCCCAAGGAAAACGCTGTTAAGAACAGCGCTTTTTACACAAAATTGTTTGCCAGAAAAACGCTATTGCTAATAGCGATTTTACACAAAATTTTTTTGCCAGAAAAACGCTATTGCTAATAGCAAGTTCACTTAAATGAAAACGCTTTTTCAATCAGCGTTTTTAACGTCCCTCATATATACGAAGCCCCCCCCTCATTTGCATACGTTTTTCAGACTTAGGTTTTTCGGGTCTTGCTCTCCATCTCGCTCTCAGCTCACTCTCCATCTCTCAGCCTCTCCATCTCTCACCCTCTCCATCTCTCACCCTCCTCCATCTCAGCTCAGCTCAGCTCATCTCAGCTCGCTCTCGCTCTTGCTCTCTGCTCTCGGTCTCTGCTCTCTGCTCTCGGTCTCTGCTCTCACTCTCTGTCTCTGCTCTCTCTCTCTCTCCGTGGTATGACATTAACCCTAATTTTATGTATTTAGTTTTTGTGTTTGTAAATGTGTTGTATTTTTTTGTCAATGTTAGGGTTTTACATGTGAATTATTAAATGTGTTAGGGTTTTTATCATTGTGGTTATGAAATTAGGGTTTGGAATTTTTTGAAATCAGAAATCAGGGTTTGGAAATCAGAAATGCGAATGGTTTTGAATTTGTGGAATTTTTTTGCTTTTGAATTTTTGGATGTTGCTTGTGAATTGAATATGGTTATGAATGTTTATGCTTTGTCAGTGTGGTTGTGGTGATGAAATTAGGGTTCGATATCAGATTGTTCACATTATTAGGATTGTTCAAATTAGGATGTCATTTTAGGGTTCACATTATTAAGGGTTCTAATGTTTTTGAATTTTTATGCTTTTGAATCATAAATCGGGTTTGGAATTTTTTTAATTTTTTGAATTTTTTTAAATAAATCATAAATATGAGAATTGAGAATTGAAATTTGGAATGATGAAATTCGTAAATCATCAATTCATATAATTGATAATTGTTAATGTCATATTATGAAATTCATGTATTTGAGAATTGTTGATTTGAAATTATGAAATGTCTATATTTTGAAATTTGAAATTAGAAAATGGAATTTTGAAATGATGCTTGTGAGTTCTTTTTTTTTTTTGCTTGTTAACAGGAATTAAAAAGAAATTAGGGTTTCAAATTATGGTTTTAAAAGTAATTTTGTTTAATTAAGAATAAAATTAGTAAAAATTGTAATTCATATAATTCGTAATTGTTAATGTCATATTACGAAATTCATATAATTGAGAATTGAGAATTGAAATGACGAAATGTTTATATTTTTAAATTTAAAATCAGGAATTAGAATTTTGAAATTATGCTTGTGAATCAAAATGTCTACATTTGTTGAATCAAATTATGGTTCAGAAATTGTTAATGTCTAATTTCTACAAAATATAATTATTAAACAAAAAAATATTTAATTTTGAATGTATCATGTATTAAAAAAATATTTAATTTTCTCTCCATGAAAAGATCATGTTCTCTCAAATAAAAGATCATGTTCTCTGAAATATTTAATTTTGACTCTATTTTATTAAAAAGAAATATTTTTATTGGTTTCTCAAAATATTTAATTTTGACTCTATTTTATTAAAAAGAAATATTTTTATTGGTTTCTCAAAATATTTAATTTTGACTCTATTTTATTAAAAAGAAATATTTTTATTGGTTTCTCAAAATATTTAATTTTGACTCTATTTTATTAAAAAGAAATATTTTTATTGGTTTCTCAAAATATTTAATTTTGACTCTATTTTATTAAAAAGAAATATTTTTATTGGTTTCTCAAAATATTTAATTTTGACTCTATTTTATTAAAAAGAAATATTTTTATTGGTTTCTCAAAATATTTAATTTTGACTCTATTCTGGCATATTTCTCAATTCTCGCCATGAGCTCTTCCATGCTTTTTGGCAAAGTTTTTGCCAAAGACTTCC